TACTAAAGTCCACAAGTCAGCGTGTTCCAATCTTTCTCCATCAGTTTTCTGGAAATCTTTAGCTTCCCAAAATGCTAAATGATCATCTAGCCCGTCTTTTACGTATTTAGAGTCTGTGATAGGGCTGGGGGTAAACGATTATTTTTAAAACGATTATTCTGACGATTATTTTATCGAATAGTCGACTATTCTAATGACTATTTAGAAAATTAATCTAATGATTATTTTTCTATTGCACAATTAACAAAAACCAGAAAATCTCAAATAAATTCCTCAAAAAAATTGATAAATTCTTACTGTAAGAGAATAAACACTACAGGCCTTCCATTTTGTATAACACTGCGTTTATTGTGTTGGTTGGTTATGTTCTGGTGACGTGTAGAACTTGGGAGTGCAGGCTGCTGCCTGAGAGGTGGTAGAAGATGGAGTGTCTCCATGCTGCTTTGTTTTGGTCACTTATGTGCGTGAGACGAGTGGTCTTACGGGTTAAACCAAACTCAGGTGATATTTTACACTAAACCGAAAACCCACAACACTCTAAATGTAATAAAAGGGAGATCTACACCACAAAAAAGATGAACTCTAAACCAAAACGTAACAGCTTATCCCAACGCAAGAAGCTGTTAGCGAAGATGCTAACAGTAGCTTTACCAACGTTGAGTTCAAGTTACCAAGTTTAAATAAACCAAAAACACCCAGCAGCAAACAGACCAGCACGGAGGAGAGACTGCTAGCACCAAAACAGCTCTCCTCGTGTCTGAAAGAAGCTCCTTAATGAAGGGAGAAGCGCTCCCGGTGATTTTCTACATCTGCGATAGACACGAAGCAGCACATCTGACCCCGGAAGTTGTTGTCCGTTGCCGGGAGACGAAGGGGCAAAACAGGAAAATAATCTAGTAGTGGACAGACATTGTTCCGGGTCTTCGGTATTTGGTGGAGATGTTAGTGAAGGCGGAGAAGAGGGCGAACTAGAGGAAAAACAGGCAGATTCCTCCTCTATTTACAAACTCCTGGGGATGCAACAAGTGGGCGCGGTGCGTCGACTTCCGGATCTGACGTCGACAAATTTTTAGAATCGAGCCGTCGACTTGGTCGAGGCTTCGCTACAGCCCTAGTCTGTGACCAATCTTACTGATCTGAGCTTCAGCTTACACGCGTCAGCAAGCGCCATGACAACGGCCGTCAATTCTGCAGTTTGAGCGGATCCGACAGTCTGTCCAGCTTGTTGATATTTCCTGTCCTTTAGCAGTCTCACAAACCCCCACTTACAGAAGTCTGCATCTGCTGTTTTCTTAGATCCATCAGTGTAGTAAACTGTCTCTGGTTTTATGGCTTTAACAACCTCTTTCCTGTCAGGCTTAAGTTTTGTTTCTCCTTCCACGTGAATCTGCGGGTTTGCCAATAACATCTCCCACTTTGCCCATCTGGGTAAAACGGCCCTCGCCTGTGGGAGGAGATCTTTCCGAAGTTCTTTAATCATATAATCAGTAGATTGAATTATGATTTTTTGCGATCCGGCCAGAGCGAACATCATATCTTTATGTTTCATCAGGGTGGTCAGCACCTTTTCGCTGGGCGTGTAACGGCTCTCAGTTGGTGCGAGTTTATAGCCTTTACATGTTATCAGACTCTTGCTGTCATAGTTCTGAAATAAACATTCTGTGAAATCCTGTCCTACAATCACTCTTACAGCCAACGGTTCATGATGCTCTCTATTTGAAAGATTCACTAGATTAGCACCTATTTTAACCATCACTGCTTGATAAGTCTCAAGCTCCTGTGAGCTCAGTTTGCGGTTGTGCGTCACCAGTTTCTGACCCACTTTGGTTCTGAGACCTTTTTTAAGTGACATTATGGGATCAATGATGTTTCGAAAATCACGGACATTGCTGGAAATGTACTGAAGCTGTCCAATTACACCCTCCAGCTTCGTAATTACGATCTACCAGCGGGATCACAGAGCTTCTGCTTTCTGCCCCTAAAAGTCTCCTCAGAGAACTTAAAGAGGACGTGGTACCGGCAGAACTTTGTGGATCTTTCAGAAAGATCAACACATCTTCCTCTCATATCTCCGCATCTATTTTCTCGCCTGATAAAATTATCACCGGTTCTTGACCTATCATAACATGATTCGGAGGAGCCGCGGGACTATGCAGTTCTAACGGGGGAAAAGGAATTGGGTTTGGAGTCCTTTCAGCCCCTGACCGTCTCTGAGTCTCGTCTTTGTCCCATGCAGCAACATGCTGTTCAGTGGGCGGTCTCTCCGCTCCTCTCATGGGCACCTGAGAAGGGGTTTGTACATGTAGAAACGGGTTCCACTGCGCCGGCCGAACCGCGTCAGGCGGGTTCGGTGGGGGTGGAGGAAATCCGCTCTCGGAACCGGGGCTCACAGGGAATTCCCCGCGGAGCGCTGGATACAAAGGGGGCGTGGTCGGAACCGATTGGACTCCATCCCAGGAGGCCGACATTTCGACTGCAGCTCGTCTCCGGTACATTTCCGCTTGGAGCTCCGTGATCCCCAGTCGGTTACATAACGCCTGTCTCATTTGAATTGCCTCATTTTTGCTTCTAGATAAGAAGTAAATTGTTCTACTATTAGTCTGTTGAACCACGAACTCTGCCATAGCAGAATACATCGCTCCCGGATCACATCGGTACTGCCCGACTCCAAATGGAGTGAGAACTAAAGGTTCCGGTCCAGTTGGTATTTGCTCAAGCAATCCCAGAAGGATCTCATATTGCTCGCCCGTGGAGAGTTTCGCTGGATTTTCCCAACAACACCACGCTATCTGATTAAAAACGGGATCATTTTGTTGTTCTGCTAGAATCACTAAATCACCCACTAACGGAAATATATGATTATTCTTTACTTGAGTTTCAGCATTCGGACAGCGCTCCGCTGCGGCTTGAGCTGTGCCGGCCTCGTTCTGAAAGCTCCGGTTACAGGATATTGCCAAAACGCTTTGTGGTTCACCTTGAAATGTCGCTATTTCTCCGGTGACAAATCTCACATTAAGGAGAACATTTTCCGGTTTTACCGTTAAAGATCTATCTGCCATGGCTGGTTGAAAGTTTCTCTTTTTTATTATTTATTTTATTTTTATTCGTTCTCACGTCTTATTCTTTATTCTTACTCTTTATTCCTTTTTATTTTTTGCCTAGCTTTTATCCTTGGCTTTTCTTACGTCGGAAAGCCGTGATTTCTTTATACCTCTTTGAGTTAATCTTCCGTTCTCCCAAATTTCTTTCCTTTTCGAGAAATTGGTGCGGTTTTCACTCCAAGGTTATAAGCTTATCCGCTCCATGGTGCGTAAGCTTTTATCAGCCTAAAAGACATAGTTCTACGTCGAATAGTCCGGTATCTAATATTTGAACCTTCGCTCTGTAGCCCCACGTTGGGCGCCATGTCGCGTGCCCGTCCCATTTACCGGTTCCTTTAAGACCCAGTTCCGTTAGAACTTATGAGACGGTGCATCCATCAGGGTTCGAGGGGATGTCGGCGAGTATAATTGTACTAGACCCGGGTTTGGACCATCTAATTAGAATCTTGTCTTTTATTTTAAAGGTGAAATGACTTGCACGAATAGCCAGCTCCAGAGTACTACACTTCTTTTAAACTCGTTACCTTTTGGTTAAGATACTAGAGAGAAGTCTGGAGGCAAGCCAAGCCTCTCAGCAATTGTTTGGGTTACCCGGAATTAATTGCGCCTCTAACAGCTTATGTGGGAGGTTGGTAACTATAAAATGATTTATGATAGTTGATCAGGCTATCATAAGTTTATCAATTTATTTATTAATCCAACCTTCCAGCTGATTAGAGACTTTTTCAACCTGCAATCAGAGCCAAAATAACCTCGAATATTCTGCTTTTATCGCCCTTAAGACAACTCGTTACTCGCAAGGAGGGGGAAGTTAAAACTTCCCTTATCTTAAGGTTTCTTTATATTATTCTATTATAAACTGTAAAGTAAGTCCCTATAATTCAGAGACCGATCATCGATATGCTTACCTCTGTGCAATTTATGGCCAGGGCTCCAAACGTGAAGCTTTAGAGAAAACCTGAAAGAATCAGGATTATGTTTCTTTTTCAAAAAAGGTTTATTACAAAATCAAAATACAAAAATGGGTAAATAAATAACAACTGCTATCCCCCAAGGAGGAATTAGTTCAAAATGATTAAATAAGAGTTAGTTTACACTAGCTCCTGTCTTCTCAGAATCTCCCAAAAACTGAACCCCTTTCCGATCTGAGCTGCATCCTTTTATATCATTTCTGAGACTGCTCTAAACAATGTAAGAGTCACAAGTCATTCTCTCCTGACAGTTTAGGTCAAGGGGTCATTTACCAAATACACTTTTTTAGCTCTACATAAGACATTTGGTATCATTTTCACTACATGCAGTATTCACATGAGGGCACAAAAGTTACATGCTGCACTCCTGGAATGAGAGCACAGGTCATAAATCTTCATGTTGGTAGCAAATTGTAGATCTTCCCTCAGCATTCTTGAGAGCTTCTGGGTCCAGTTGGACTTTCCTCACTCCATGCCAGTCCTTCTTTTCCCGCCAGAGGTGGAGTTAGGGGCGGGATCATGGGTGTGTCCATGGGTGGATCCACAGAAGCCAGCTTGTCTTTTGACCCTTTGCCTAGTTCTGTCCTCACCAGCAAGTCCTGAACTATTGTCCTCTTGACCCTTGTGTGACCCTTGTCTCTGACCACTGTTTCTAAGCCTTGACCGGTTGCTCGGACTTGCAACAACATCACAATTTTTTTGAAGCAGTTGGTTTATTGACATTGAGGTAAAACACTAACTCGATTGGTACGTGAAAATGTTATTATTTCCATTAAGGCCGCATGACACCCAAGAGTAGTGGTTAATATTCTCGTCATCTCTATAAATGGTTTTAGCAAACTGATATTTCCTTAGAGTTTCCAGCCACGCTCCATTTAAAAAGATTTTAAGTGAAAAGGAGAGAAGCTTGCTTGATCTTCTCTCTCAAACCCTAACCCTAACTCTTCTGGTTTCTCCCCAGCTGCTTTGGGCTGCTTGGTGAATTTCACAGACCCAGAGGGATACATAGACTCCTCTGACAACCCGCCTCTGCCCGATGGTGTGTTGCTGCACTGCACCTACACTGTGACTGTGTACACTGGCTATGGAGTGGAGCTGCAGGTATGAAGCAGGACAGAAATCTTCACTGGAAAGTTGCTGTCCAGATGTTCACAACTGGATGGATCCCTTATTTTCAGGATGGATGTATTTTTATCAACGGATGCCGCAGTGAATGGTTCCTGTCTGTATGAGGATTCTCTGGGTTTAAATCCAGGTTAAATTCTGCCTCCTAGTGGCACCAAAGAGTTCATTTTCAGACATTCACACAAACATCTGATCATCTATTATTCACAAAGTGAATAGAGTATATATATATATATATATATATATATATATATATATATATATATATATATATATATATATATATATTTTTTTTTTTTCTTTCCAGAGCTCAGACATGCTGTTTGCCTTCTGCAGGGTTAGGGTCAGGGTCAAGGTCAGGGTTAGGCTCTGACCAAAGACACCTAAGAATTGTAATTCTCATGTCTTTCTTTGGGGAGACACTGTATGTCCTTGTGTGTGTTTTAAAGTCTATGCTCTTGTTCTGTTTTAGATCACTTGCTCCTTGTTGTAATTATTCTCTATAATGCTATCTAGCTGTGTGCTGCTAACTTGTGTATTTTGACCCTACTTTGTGTTATGGTAACATTATTGCAAAGCTTCCAATCCCACTTTTATGTCTCAATTTGTTTTCATTTTGCTGTCATTTTATTCAAATCATTGCTAACCCCTCCCTGTTTAGTTATGAGTCAGAATAGCTGCTGGGACAAAGCAAACTTTGAAAGTTTACAACACAAAAAAACTCACATCAGACTTAATTGTCAGGTTTGAAGAACTTTTTAGGTTATTCTGTAGATCCAGTGAGTGTGTGCTCTGATACTACGGCCATATTCTTGTACCGCTTTACCCCAGTGTGACATTCAGCTCCCGGTTTTGTTGCCGTGGGAAACAGCAACAACTATTTCAGCAAGGGGCTCAGAGAAGGGTCTGGAGAATCGGGAAATAAATGGAATAAATGTATGAAGTGGAGATGTGGAAATATGTGCATTCATACTGTTCTAATCATTTCGGTGGCGTGGGTTATGAATACATCGGTTATGGCTGATTGCTGCACCTGAAACTGTAGAACGTTTTTTCCATCTGCTTCTGGGAGTTTTGGTTTGCTTTTCTAAAGGAACAAAGATAGTATTTGGGTTTTTCTGTTGTGACACTGAAAAAACATATGTAAATAAACATAGCAGCTAAACTATGGATTGCCCGCTTGCAACTTTACACAGAAACATACAACAGGGCATAACACTATGGACACAAAATGTAGAGACATGATATGTACACAAGGATATGCACATTGTGCATGCAATAATAATTTTTACACAGATGCAATTGTTCATTTGTTCTACATTTAACTGAGCAATAGCAGGTTATGGTTTTGGGGGAAGAATGGTATTTCAGCTGTGTATGACTCAGGGGAAGAAGCTATTTTTGATCCTGGTGGTGTGTGATCTGATTGATCTGTAGTGCCGTCCTGAGGGCAGCAGCTCAAACAGGCTGTGGGCAGGGGCCACTGGTTATCAGTTTGGTCTTTTGTTGACAGCTGGATCTTGCCATGTCTTTTAGGGAGGGCAGGGGGTGGCCAATGATCTTCTGAGCTGTGTTTATGGCCCTCTGCACAGCCTTGTTGTTGGACCACATTGTAGTAAATTATAACTATATATTAAAAACAAATGCAAAATATAAACAGACATTTAGCAAAATTATGCTGTTAAAAGTGAGATTCACTGAATTTTTCATCATTATTTCTGATTATAATTAGTCACTGAGTTTTTCATGCAGGCTGAACATGAAAATAGTCTCCTACACCTGTCTCCTGCATTAGCTTCTGATAGAAAAAGATGGTGAAACTCTAGCAAACGCCTGACTGATCTGCGTCACACTGTCACTTAACACTTATTGACTCACCCAAATCAAAATTGATCAAACATCAATGTTGCAAAGTAAAATGAGTCGCTGAGTCGGATTTCTGTTAGCCAATCAGAGGTGAGATGTCCAAATATCAGGAAGCAAGACTCCAAATCCTGTCGTTCAAAGCGCTTGTCTGATCTGGCTTACGAGATCCTGAAACAGGTGCACCTGGGCTTTTTGTACCCAGAGTATCGCTTACAATACGTTCATTCCTACTGGAGACCTCTGTAAATGTAGTGATTAAATGAGTGTTCCACACCTTTTAGAGACACGTCTGAGTTAAATAATGATTAATTGTAATTCTTTTTAAAATATATGGTTGATTAGATGACTCTGAATGCAATATTCGAGTGAGGTTCTTCTTAGGTTGGATGTAGTGGATACAATGTAGGTTTGCATCAAAATGTAGAAATTAACATGGACCATCATGTGATGCACAAACACAATCTCACTCTTAATCACAACTATCCAACAACAGCTCCTAACTGGACCCACAGTGACATTGTTGGATGCCACATGATGAAATGTGGAGCTGATCTGTAGAGTGCACTGACGAAATCCCTGAACAGAAGAAATCTGAGATCAGAAAACTAAAACATGATTTGTGCTGATCAGAAAAGACCTGATCTTTGACAACTTGTTGTTGGGTTCAGGTAAAGAGCGTGAACCTGTCTGACGGTGAACAGCTGTCAATCAGAGGTGTAGATGAGCGAGGTGCCCTGCTGGTTCTGGCCAATCACACTCTGCTGGTGGAAGGTCAGGTGATCCGGAGTCCCACCAACACACTGTCTGTGTACTACCGCTCTGCTGTGGAGGGAAGCATGGGTGTCTTCCAGCTGCACTACCAGAGTGAGTCCAACTTATGACAGCTTATAGGCTAAGGAGCCTGTTTGCTGTCTATATTCTGTACATGGTAATTGTAAAATCAAAATCTCCTAAATGACTCTCTGTGAATTTGTGGTGTGAGTTTTCTGATTAGATCTCTGATTAATCAGCTTTCATCTCATTAGGAGAGTGAGAATATGGGATGTTGTGTGTGTGTGTGTGTGTGTGTGTGTGTGTGTGTGTGTGTGTGTGTGTGTGTGTGTGTGTGTGTGTGCCAACAAATTAGAGATGTGAAAAAGACCTGAGGATAGGAGGAACTAAGTGTTACAATCCACCTGTGTCATTAATCACACATCTAATCCTTTTACCTCATTTCCCGGCAGACGAATGCTGCTGATTGAGATTACAGTATATCTGCTGAGATGGATGTGGGAGCGATAAAAAGGCCCTAAAAACAACATAAAGAGGAAAGATGTATTATACCACACAGCTCACAAAGCTCATTAAAATTATTCAATTAGAAATGCGTCTGCAGACGGCTGATTTCTCAAGTGAGCAGCCACATTTATACAAACAAAAGCAGTGTGCTTAACTGCTAATTCTTAAAATCCATTATGGCTGACTGAATGGACTGAGAATAATCAATTAAGACTGTTTCACATAAGCAAGCACCAAATGTAAAACACTCTAGTCTGGTGAAGCTAAGAAAAACACAAAAACAACTTGAGAAAATTACAAATACGCACATTTGTTTTCTAAATTCTAAACCAGAGGAGGTTGATGATTAAAATAAAAACCTGGTTAAGTCTTGATTCTTTATGTTTGTGTGGGCTAGGTTTAGGGTGGGACGAGCCAGCTCCTCCCACTTTAAAATGGAATGGCCCTGCGCGGTGGGAGTGAGTCTCTGGCTCAAGAATAGATCCTCAAGTATGTTGATGTCCTGTTCTTAGTGATGGTGGGATGCATCAGAACTCTATCTGCAGTAAACTCGATCTTTCCTCTGGTCTGTTGTGGTAAAGAAGAGACATCTCAGTTACAGTCTGCTCTCCACTAATGGTCAGAAAGTTTAGATCTCTAAAATAAAGATATTTTCTCTGGCCTGGGATGGAATCCCCATGAAGGAGAGAACCATTGAGGGAGGAAAATTGATGTTATTTACTCTTAATGCTTCTAAAATCAATGATTTGTCAGTACACCATGGATCGTTTTGTACATGTTGTGGACTCTGTGGTCTCCACATCCAAATCCCTCATGAAACATTGGACTAATTTTGATGACTGAGTTTTAAAAAAGATTAACGTAATTTCTGTGCAATCAGAGGAGTTACTTAACATTATTGTTATTTGTTTTGATGATGCTAAAGGTTTGGTTCACTGGAAAACCATTTTCAATTATTAAGTCTGATTATAATCAGTCACTCTGAGTTTTTAAAGCAGACAGAACAGGAAAATAGTCTCCTACACCTATCTCCTGCTTTACAGATCTACGCCTCTTTCGGCAGAAGCTAACCGCTAGCATTAGCAACTCAAAAACATGGCAGAAGCTCCTCCAGGCTTGTTATTTGTGGAGATAAAACATCCATGTCCCCGAGCAAACAGTCAGTGGTAGAGTTGCGTTGCTTTGCTCCAATCCAAGGCCAGATGTTTAAATATCAGGAAAAAAGACTCCAAATCATCTCGTTTCAAGCACAGCTCTGATGCTGCATACTGGGCCTGCTGGGTCAGGGGCTTGTGGGCCTTTTTGTGCCCTGAGTTCTGCCTGCAAGACATTCATTCTTACTAAAGACCACTGCAAATGTATTGTTTAAAAGAGTAATCCACACCTTTAAATGTGTTTGAAATGTCAGGTGAAGTAAAATAGCACACAGCAAGTGCATATGTTTTTGAACTGTTGTTCATTTTGAAGAGAATTTAGCAGCATGTGTAGGATCGGTGTTTTATTGATCATTGTTCATTTTGTCTCATATCATCTGTCTGATTGCTTGTAGTCTTCAGACTGAGCTGCTCACTGCCAAAGAGGCCTCACTTTGGGGAGGTGTTGGTGCTGGATCTGCTCCCTGGTAACGCCGCCCTCTTTCACTGCCACATGGGTTACCATCTGCAGGGAGAACCGCAGCTCACCTGCCTCAATGCCTCTCTGCCGGTTTGGAGTGGCAAGGAGCCCACCTGCAGGGGTGAGTGAGTGTGTGTGTGTGTGTGTGTGTGTGTGTGTGTGTGTGTGTGTGTGTGTGTGTGTGTGTGTGTGTCTCCTAGTTTATAGTGTTAGTAAGAATAACCCTCCACTAAGCAAAAGGGTTTGTAAAATCTTTCCAAGAAACATCTTCCAGCTCAGCCTATTATCCCATGCTTTCCATGCTAATTATATTTAGCTCTGCTGTGTTCTTTTAAGCCAACAGAATATCTAAAGTTGTCGTTGTTGATTAAATGTTACCATAACCAAGCTGTGGCTGTGTGACAGCTACCTGCAGCTGATCTCAGATGCCCCTGACCGCCAAACATCTGGAACAACTTGATCCTTTGGGCTCCTCTGTGCATCTGAGCTTAGAATTGAACTAGTTTTGGGCTGTATGAATTAATGTTTTTATTCTGAGTAGTTCTTTTATATATTTTTGTGAAGCACTTTGTTTTTCTATCCTAAAAAGAATGCTTTACAAATAAAGTTTACATACTAACGTCTTTGCTCTCTGTAGCACTTTGTGGAGGAACAGTGAAGAATGCCAGTGTGGGGAGGGTGCTCTCCCCGTCCCCTCATCATGGGCCTAATGCCACCCTGGACCGTTCCTGCTCCTGGTCCCTGGAGGCACCCAAAGACCAGAGACTGCACCTGCACCTGGAGAGGCTGGCCCTGGGACCAACAGACAGGTAAAATCAGCCTAAATCTGTGACTGAGGAGTCCTCACCAGCAAGAGATATCCAAAATAAATAATAATAATAATAATAATAATAATAATAATAAACACCAAGACAAAAGAAGAGAAAACACAGACAAAAGAGTTTAATAGCCATGACCAAGGAAAACAACCGAAACAACCACTAAGTGTCTCTAAACTAAACAGTTATAAGCAGAAAAACAAAGGTGACATTCTGCGTGGAAATAAGGAAAAAACACAAAGCTATAAGAAAATCTAACCTTTAATGCTTGTAAATGTTAAATTTGATCAGTGAACATATTTGAAAGTCTGAGATTTGCTGACAACCAATGATTAGGAGAATGTCTGTTTGTAAAGGACACAAACACATCGTATGACTCCAGACTTCTGCACCACCGTGCTTACAGGATTGTGTTTTCTATCATGTAAACTAACCACTCTGAGTGATCTAGTGTTGTTGTAGCTGCAGGTTCATGAATGGATTAATGAGCGGATGAAAAGCTGTAGTGTTGGATAGATGTGCAGCAACTGTTCACAGCTACCAGATGTTGGTTTCTAATAATGGTTTGGATTTATATAGCGCTTTTAAAGACAACCAAAGCGTTTTCCATTATTCATGCGCTCTCACATTCATGAGCTGCTCTGCCGGTGATGGTAAGCTACCTTGTAGCCATAGCCGCCTTGGGGCGGTCTGACAGTTTTAGCTATCAGTGCAAAAAAGACATTAAAGCTGCTTTAGCGAATTTACAGATCAAGCTAGTTTTGAACGCATGGTCACTCACCCCTCCCTTCGGGTATCTGCCTCGAGATGCTTGTGCCAGAACCAGAAACTATAGGGAAACGAGAAGGCTGTAAACACCAGTCGCAGTTTTCTATGTCCAAACGTCTTTTGCTGTCCTTGACTTCAAATGATGTATTTCTTTTTCTGACTCTGGTAGTTTGTCCTAAAGTTGAAGTGGTAGCAGCCGGCTGCTTCTCTGATATTATTGAGCGGAGAGCAAGAGAACCATTTTTCTCCCCTTTTTTATTCTCCACAATATATTTATAGCTATACTACGTTAGAATGTTAAGAGGCATGATAAAAAGTTTCAAACTAACTTGTTTTTTCCATTGCAGCTTCAAAAGAGACAAATAAAACAAAGACAAACCAGTTTGTGAATAAATACAATGGTGAAGGAAAAGGAAATGCAGTAAAGTGGCCAGAACTGTACCGTATTTGTATCTAACAGATGTTCTCTCCTAGGAGAATTAAAAGGGGATAGAAGGTGTTTTGTTCATGAGTTCTATAGCAGAGAAGCAAAAACCTGTCTCTGTCTTGAGGTTTTGGTTCTGATGGACCAAAACCTCCTGCCACAAGTCCAAATGAAACTTGTCATAGAGTTGAATCCGGTTAAGCTTATCCTGGCCGAGACCAGACATCACTCAGATTTGGCTCTCCGTCTCAAAGGGTAAGAACCCCTAGACCTGATGGGCATTACCCTGTGCAGGAACTATAAACCTGTGCAGGGTTTATTTAAGCTGCTGGTGAGGAGACTTGCTAAGCCTCCATCTGCCTACGTCTGAGCATCTTACCCTGTTTCCTCCTGACCTCCTCACTGAGTAGTTTTGCACTGGGATGGAGGATGCACCAGACTGAATGAATGAGCTCAAGTACTGATAGCTGGGGGGGGGGGGGGGTCAATTTAACACGGATCATTTATTTTTTCTACAAAGTTTGCAATAGGAATCTACTCAATTTTAAATCCACTGTCATGTTTTTTATGTTACCCTCTCCTTCACATATTAACAGCACATGTCGGGGTTGTAACATCAACATTGTCAACAAGCAACAACACTTCATTTATAATCCTCAGCTGCTTTTAGAGAAAGTGTAAAGGCTGCTCAGAGACTAAATCGACAACACAGACAAGCACTCAGCATCCAGAAGGTACTGTATTTGGTTTGTTCTAGATGCAGTGGACACCAAACACTGGTGTGAAATGTTTGGCTCACCATTATATTTATCATCCATCCATTTTCAGAACCCTTTTGCCCATGTAGGGGGGGGGGGGGGGGGGGGGGGGGCTTATCGCCAGCGGTCCATTATATTTATTAACTATAAAAATGTTTAGGCCTACAATCCTATGTTGGATTGGTTTTGTTCACACTAAACGTTTGTATTGTTGCAGGCTGGTGCTGTGGAGTGGTTTGGACGCCGGCTCTGTGGTTCTGTTTGACTCGGGTCGAGGAGGCCAGATACCATTCGAGGGAGTGATTAGTGAAGGTCCAGCTGTACGGATCCAGTTTATTACAGATCAGCCCAATCACAACACGGGATTCAATATCCGCTACGAAGGTAAAGACTGAACCAGGCTGTCGTGTTGCAGAGCTTAAACTAAGAACTGTTACTTAGCAATTATGCCCACAAACGGCTCCAAAGCCGAGTGTTTTTATGCGTGATGTTCTGCCAACCTGAGTAATGCTGCCTTGCCAGGAAACAGAGCTGCCTATCGTGATGATGAGAACCAAGCGTCCTAGTTTTCTAGCAGTGTGAGGGGTGCCAAAGGACTGAAAAGTTCCTTCATTACGATAATCCTGTCAGCAACGATAAAAAAGACGAGCTAAAATCAGTGGCGGAGCCAGGACGTAGCAAATGGGTGGGCCTAGAAAAATCTGGATGGGCCTAATTAATTTCAAAGCTCATATGAGATGTGTGTCGCACGCGTGCATGTCAAAATTACATTTCAATAAAATTTCTCAAGCCACGAATAATCCTATGATAGAAGATTGTATTTTAGATACTTATTCCATGAATCTCTGTTAAAGTTAAATTTTAAGGAATGTTACCGATGCTGGACTCCCGCTCTGGGCCAAGACCTGCACACTCTCTCGTGAACTTTCAGGACCTTGGACAGGTTCTAATCTCAGCCAGGCGTGCTGCCGTGCTTGTCTCAGCATCCTAGCTGCAAGCTATTAGCTAAGAGCTGAAGATCCAAAAGACCGCAGTTTGCCAGAGGTCACCGCATGTTTCAAAAATCAGGATTTTTGACTGTTCTTCATGCTCCAGATAGCTCAGGATGCAGCAGGAGGTGGTGTAAAACCAGAGATCAGGTCAGATGATTCTCAGCAACCGTGCCCTCCACCAGGGAATAATCAGCAAGTACGATCCAAGCGCGCGCACACACACACACCTTGACTAAGCAGCATACACCTCCGACCACACCCCCTCTCCTCACCGGCTCTCAAGGGCTCGGACTCATTCACGAACACCGACAGCAATGCGCCGACGCGGTTCGGGACGGTCCAGATAACAACAACAATAAAATGAACAGAACCAAATAAAATGGCCTTAGAGGACTAGAGCAGACCCGACGAGATACCCGGATGAAACGATTTGTTTCCTTTACCGGATTAACGTAAGTGAAAGGAAAAGCATCAGATAAAAGGTCCATGCATGTCCGCTGTGTGCTAAGCGTCTGTCCCCCCCTCACACCCAGTCCTTTCTCAGTTTACACCGCTGACAAAATCAATGATGTCATCTGCATACTCTGGGAAATGCCTGGTTCAGCTGTGAGAAGTTCAGGACAGGAGGACGCTTCTGAGAAAAAAAAAATCATGAACCTCACTGGGTGGCTGGGACGGCATCAGACTATTTTCTCTGCAGTAGGTTAATAGTTGCTTAGTGTCCGTAAGCAGGTGCCAATTCACTTTTTTTATGTAAAAGACCAAATTACAACTCCAACAAGCAAACTGGAAAACTTATTCATAATATGATTTAAACTAACACCAGATATAAAATTTTAAGTACTTTAATTACACAGTGAAAAAAGTGCACATTCATTAAAGTAATTATTTTATATTGTAATTGTTGTGACAACATAACTGGGGTTGCTAAGCAGTTGCTTGCTTGGCCACATCTTGAAGTTGCTATAGCAACACCAAGCCACTGCCTGGCCTTGCCCCTGGTGGGTGGGCGCTCTGTCAAACTGGGTGGACCTGTGCCCACCCAGGCCCACCCATAGCTCCGCCCCTGGCTAAAATTCATCTTTGTAAGAGTTATGCTGGCTAAAGATGGTCAGGGATCATGAAAATTACATAGAATCTCAGAGAAGAGGCCATACCATTAATAACACTGGAGATTTCTGAAGTCCTTTTCAACAAACTAATTCTTCTTACTTCCTGTTCCAGCGTTCGAGCGTGGCCACTGCTACGAGCCATACCTCCAAAACGGGAACTTCACAACCACAGACCAGTTGTATGGCGTTGGAGCTGTGGTTCAGTTCACCTGTGACCCGGGCCACTCTCTAGAACAGGGCCCTCCGGTCATTGAGTGTATAAGTGCCAGGGATCCGTACTGGAATGACACTGAGCCGCTCTGCAAAGGTAAAATAAAAGAAAGCTTGTTTTCAGGTTCTTTAAATCTTTCAGAGCTTTTTAATGAGTGACCTAAAGTTGATGAACTTTATAGACACCAGCCCATTAAACATCACCTTTTTCAGACTTTGGAATGATGTCTGTTGTTCTTTTGTACAACAGCATAATTTACCATAATTTACCACATGCAGATGGTTGAAGGAGACGAGGCCTAAACAGAAGACTATAAAGATGATGACAGGAGTTTTCAAAAGAACACAATCTGAAGGGCTGCAGATGCAGAAAGACAAAAACACTGAGCCGATGCATTTTAACCATAAAGGACCCGTGGTGACACTGGTGACACAACCGATTTCAAACATTTGCAAAATTGCTTCTTGAGTCAAATTTTCAAGTTTGAAAATGTCACAACCTGTCCTGTCTCCTCATTCTGTTCAGTCCTGTGTCCATGTTAATTGCTCCCACCTGCCTCTCGTCTCCCAATCACCCAAGGTCCCAGCTCCTCCTGTATTTAAACCCTCTCAGTCCTGTTTGTCTTGTCGGAGCATTGTTTTGATGTCCTGCGTGCCTTCATTAAAATCCTTTCATCGTTCCTGTCTGTCTGTCTGTCTGTCTGTCTGTCTGTCTGTCTGTCTGTCTGTCTGTCTGTCTGTCTGTCTGTCTGTCTGTCTGTCTGTCTGCCTTCTTTCCCCTGCACTTGGATCCTCACCTCCGCTCACCTCACCTGCGCGCTCGTGACAGAAAACCCCGAGTGACTTTCTATCCATACATGTATTGAAAATCATTCTACTTCTTTATTTTATTATTGTTTTCTACATTTTGATGCATCTGTTTTCAAAATAAAAAAGGGCTGGGTTCTAAAGGGTTAAAAACAAATGCCCCGAAGACAGCATCCCTATACAAGAGTCGGTGCAGACTGGGAGTGTTATATACCACAGACGATGATCATTGTTGTTGATGGTCTTGCTAATAACCATAAAGTTCTGTGTATTTACTGTGTAGATTGAACATGACTGTAGGTGTTTGACGCTGTGTTCACCTCAAAGACATGTTTGAGATTAAAGTCGTATTAATCCACATTCCCTCAAGGAGTTGGTTTAAACAAGAAAGTGTTTTTTTCAGTGCCGTTTTATTAAAAGGTGACACACACACACACACACACACACACACACACACACACACACACACACACACCATCTTCCAGCCTTTTTCAGTCCACTGTGCCTTTACTGTTTAATTAAATGTGGGTCCACTGTCTTTGCAGCCCAGTGTGGGGGGGACTTGACCGGCCCTGGAGGAGTGATTCTGTCTCCGAATTGGCCTGAGTGGTACGGAGAAGGAGAGGACTGCAGCTGGAGGATACACGCTGGTGAAGATAAACGAGTGCTGCTTGATGTACAGCTGTAAGAGCAAAAATGACAAAGAAATACGGCTCATATATAGTTTTTGTTTCAGTCTAAAGTTTGTCCAAATACAATTAAAGAGCTGAGTTTGGAGGTTCAGTGAGACAGCGCCTGTCCGGCACACTGATATAATGATATGATATTATTATGACATGAATATGATTATATTATGATATTATACTGATATTATTACTCTTTTGCACACTGACCAGTTAAACTCTAAAGGTACCAAAGACACATGATAACCAAACGTTTCATTCAAAGAGGATCTAAAAGCTTAGAGTAAACAGGAACATAGCTCGTGGAACATGGACACAGAACACAGAACAGAGTGATAAAATGAAAGAGAGATGGGACTAAGGCCATCTTCACATGGCAAGATAATTACGCCAATTTTTCATCTAATTCTGTACTTTCAGTAGTCTCATTTTATCAGATATTCCTGCTGTGTGTGCTGTACTAAGAGTGATCTGGTCCTCTTGGAATGATATTGAGACAGTTCCAATTATAAATCAAGGACATTAAACTTGTTGGATTGTCTTGTTCAGATTTTTTAGGACAAACAAGCGTGCTGCCTGTTGAATGTGACGTAAAGTCATTCAGAAAGTGAGGTGGCAGAAGCTTCTCCTGTGTCATGATTGTTTACTCAAAAATGCATTTGATCTACAGAGGCTTTGTGAAATTTCCCCTCTGACCAGAGATTGCTTGTGGGTTTGCGTGTGTGTGTGTGTGTGTGTGTGTGTGTGTGTGTGTGTGTGTGTGGGTGGGTGTGTGTGTGTGTGTGTGTGGGTGGGTGTGTAAAACGTTTTTACTTTTTGCTTCAATTTTTTAACAAAAATACGTCATTCTTCCCCCACACATTCTTAATTTCTCATGTCAACTACACTTCTAATAGTTCTACTGGAGCATGATGAATCTAACACGTCAGAGAAAGTATCAACATGTTTACAGACTATTAAACAAATGCATCATTTAGCCTCTGAGGTTGTGTGTTTTTCTTCACAACTCTCCAGCCTCTCTCTGAGTCAGCATAACCAGCCATGCCACTTTCTTTCTCTCAGTGTATCTTGTTGTTTTCAGACTCAACATCAGCGATAGCGACATGTTGACCATCACCGATGGCGATGAGGTCACAACTCGCATTCTGGGGCGATATGTTGGAGGCAGCAGCCCCTTCAAGCTCTCCTCCACCACGCCAGACCTGACCATTACCTTTCACTCCGACCCTGCTGGGCTTGTTTTTGGCAAGGGTGAAGGCTTCGTCATCAACTACATGGGTGAGAACGACTGTCAAAAAACGTGTGAAAAATAAAGAGCTGTATGAGGTTAGAGTTCATTGGACATGCTTGTAAAATATGTGCTAGATCAAAATCAAAGTTAAATCTTGGATTGGCCAACACTAATTTGGCTCTACCATTGACTCAATTTGCTTTACAATGGGGATGTTTCATCTCCACAAATAACACAAGCCTGGAGGAGTTCTGCTGTGTGGTGGAGTTGCTAATGCTAATGGTTAGCTTGTACTAGTCATGTTGTTCTCTGCTGTTTTCTTGGCGCGAAACCAACAACTGCCTTCCCCAACGTGAGCCAAGATGGGTGAGTCCATGACTGTTAAGTGACAGTGTGATGTGGATCTGTCAGGCTTTTCACATTCTAGAGTTTCACTGTCTGTTTTTTATCATAAGCTAATACAGGAGATATGTGTAGGAGACTATTTTCATGTTCAGCCTCAGAGTAACCGATTATAATCAGAAATAATCACTAAAATCTAGTTTTTAGTGAAGTTGGCCTTTAATCCTAAAGTTTAAACATTCAGGTTCTGTTTTTCTGTTCAGTCTCAAAACATTAACAAATTCAGTATAACATTTGCCTCCAAAACACATTATTTTAGCATTGTTTGCAGACAGTTGTAAATAAAATGAATGAGTTATCCCGTGAGTACATTTTGACAGTGACTTTTTTATTTTCCATTGATTGCAGTGGTGCCATTTCTCTTCAGTCTGTCTACACAAATCTTCATCTTCCCCTTTTGTCCCCTCTCATCCTTGTTTGCCTTTTCTTTCTCTTTCCTCTGCCCTTATTCAATCACATCCTATTTGTTTCACCAGTCGCACAACGACACTCATCCACACACAAGCTGGGACTTTCACAAGCAGCTAAATAAGCCTCGTCCCCTCTTTTACACACTGTAATCTGCAGTGTGCCCCAGATCCAACATCTGACACCAATTTAGCTGCACACCAAGACACACTCGGTCCAATTTACTTGTCACTTTCCCGAAACCACAAAATCGCATACATTTCCCAAAGGAGTAACTCAAGTATACACAGCATGACACTATGTGCCTTGATTATACGTGTGTGAAGCCTGTCCTGCCAGACTCGTCCTCTGTTTAATTCTGCACAGAGAAAGAGGACTGTCTGGTAACTCTCCTATTCAAATAACCCCACCCCTTGAGAATTCTAACCGAGCCGATCAGCGCTGAGTAGCGTACGTCACACACCATAACACCGAGTTTGTCGAACATGGCGACTGAAGCGTAGTTCGCTGCAGCTCTTCCCTCTGGTCTAAATGACTTGGACACACCTTTAAAACAACAACAAGTAGAAGCGCTAAAAGCCTTTCTTGTAAAGAAAGATGGTTGCGCTGTCACCCGATGCCATTTTTGACTATAGCTAAAAAACTTCTGCGTCGCGAACATCACACATAGCAACACTCAGTTTCTCATAAACAACGAAGACAGCGGCGGAGTTCGCTGCGGCTCTTTCCTCTGTTCTAAATGAATTGAATGTCTTTAAAACCACAACAAGTAAAAGTGCTAAAAGCATTTCTTCTTCTAAAAAAAGAAAGATGTTTGCGCCGTTGCCACACACCTTTTATTACTAAAGCTAAAAGACGACAGCGTTGCGCGGTACAGTCGACATTTCCGTATTTTTTCTGATTGGTCATTTTTCAGCTGCCTAGTTCGGCCCCTCATGTACCTCTCTGTCTGTGAGCTACCCAAGCCCCCACAATGCAGCACTAAAATTGAGAAACCCAGAAATGAAATAAATTGCAGTTCCACCCTCATCCGCTGGGGGCTGGTGTCAGAAGCGAGCAAATCCTCATTGACTCCCATGTTAAAAATACCAATTTCACAGCAGAAATAAACATGTTTACAGCCTGGTACCAAAACATGTTTTTTGTTTAAATGATCTAGTTTACACTCATGACAACTCTGAGGGGGGTGAATTTTTTTCTCACTCTTCTGTTTAAGTGTATTAAAAGCCTAAAATTCTGTATAATTAATGAGCATCAGACCCACGTGACCACAGAGCTAGCTCCGTGGAAAGGCCTCAGTAGAGCCTCGGTCTGGCCTGAAAACTGTTTAGGGACTTTGAGTCTCTGTGTTTGTGTATTCTGTTTTGGATATTATTTGTGCAATTGTTGGACAAAATGACTTGATGTGGCATTAATTGCACTAATAGAGCGTCCAAGGAGTCTCCACTTCATTTTTTTTCGGTAAGTTAAAATATATTTATGTATTTTAGGTCACTGCCGAGCTGAGCTTAGATTTTAACATGTACTGTTTAACCGTGAAATTTAAATGTAATAGGGTAAAACCCAGTGCATTTAACACAATGCTGCATTTTAGAAAATGGGTTGAAATATAACAAGTTAGGTGGAGCTGGGTTCCGACTATCGGCTTGTGTAGCTCTCGGGAGACCAATGTTTCCCACCCGGTTCTCCCCTTCCCGCAGCCCGGCGCATCTCTGTTTGATCGCGGCTTGTGTGATGCGCGGAATGTCGGCTGTTTCTCCCCGCAGCTCGGCGCATCTCTGTCTGATAGCGGCTTCTGTTTGATGCGCCGGGCTGCTGGCTTGTGGAGCTCTGGGATGGAAACCTTTCCACCCGGTTCTCCCCAGCGGCAGCTCTGCGCATCTCAGATCGCAGCGGCGCTTGTCTGCTGTGCGGCTGCTGGCTTGTGGAGCTCTCGGAGACCTCTGTGGAGGTCTCGGCAATAGGGATGAGCCGGATACTCGTTTCAGACGAGTATCCGGTACGGATAAAGCATTTTTGACGAATACGAGCATGAGACGAGTAAACCTCATAAATATCTGTAATCGTGCTGAAGGAAAATCCTCATTGGGTAACTGACTGTCTTCACGCTCTGTTATTGGCCAGTCACATAGAGCGCCCGCCCCTTCCTACACACAAAACTCTCTAGCCGTCCGGCTCCGGGAGCTCAGTCCGTCCGGCTCATCCACGCACACACACACAGACAGTAACGGATCTCGCTGTGATTGCTTCACTGTTGCTCACGTTTCTTCAGTTTTCCCTAGGTTTTCTTCAGCTCACCTCTTTTTCGGTTAAATATTTAAAGTTACTTTTTTCGTAACTTACATGGTGCATTTGACAAGACAGAGCTGACTTTCTGCATCAGTCACTCACTACCTCCGCTCCGGTCGGGGTTTTTATTTTTTTAACTCCATCTCTCTCCCTCTCACCCTCTCTTATCTCTGTCAGACACACACACCTTAATCAACAGTGTTTTGTTTAACTTTGTGTGGGGCAAAATGCCAAGAACGTTAAGAAAAAAATCAGTTTAATCAAATTAAAATAAAAAAAAATTCATAAAGTTGTGTCTGGTTCTAGCTTTTCATATTTCTTAGTTCCTACTGCATGAATTCAGACGTATTAATCCATGCACTTAAATATTAATGTTCTAATTTTATTGAAACACTTGTTCTGAAATAGTTCCTTTACTATTATGATCAAAAATATTTAATCTAAATTCTGAGGCTGCTCTGTAAATAGTTTTCAAATGAACAATACACATATCAACTTCCGATCATTCCATATCAATTTCAGACTTAAAATAATATATTGATGTAAACCACACCCACTTCCGGTTAAACCATGCCCACTTCCAGGTTATGTCACGCCCATCCCGCGTACAGATACAGATACAGATAATTTAGTTGGTTGAACAGATACAGATACAGATAGTGGTGTACTCGCTCATCCCTACTCGGAGACCTCTGTGTTCCACCCGGTTTTTCCCAGCGGTCAGCCCGGCGTATCTCTGACTCAGAAGCTCTGGTGTTGTGCACAGTTAACTCCAGTTGTAGCTAGGTTGCTACCCCTGTTAGCTTAGCTCCCACCTCTGTGTTAGCTTTGGGTTAGCCATGGTTAGCTTCAGGTTAGCTTGTAGCTAGTTCGACCGGGTGTCGTCAGTTGATCCCAGCCTTACAGCCCCACCCTCAGCTCCTCCTCTCTTCTCTTTTTTGGAATTGTCTGGGCTTGACGGAACCTGTGACACGGTCAAAATGGCGGTGGTGGCCACCTCCCATTTGGCCTCAAAAACGTGATATTGGAGCCTATGGAAAGGAGATGTCCAGTATATTTATGTCGATGGAGCTACCAGACTCCTCTGTGCGAAATTAAACAGAGGACAAGTCTGGCAGGCCAGGCTAACGTGTGTGTGTGCTGAGAATAAATTACACACCACACACATTAAGGCTATGCAAGGGAGGAGGACCAAGTCAATAGTGAATGAATAATTAACCCTGCAACTTTAACTTACAAGTCCCTGCAGACCCATTATATTGTACACTGTTAAGTAATACTGCACTCCATCCAATCAATCATTAGACACACAAAGGGAAAGATGAGACTGTCTCATTTAACGGTTAAGATTATACACTCTTTACTGTCGTATAACCTTCTTTACTTATAATCCACAAAATACAAAAACTCCACATTCAGAAGGAGCTTAAAAAATAAATAAAAAGAATCCCTTCATTTAAACAGATAAGATCAATGGGAAAAACAGAAACTAACATAAAAAATTAAATTAAACCCAAGAAAGGCCCCACAATAAAAGAGAGAAAAAAAGTCTTTATATGTCAACGATAAAGATAAGTTTGGATTTTATTTTCAGCACATACTGAGAGTATCTCTGTAGAGAAGAGAATGAGTCATTCTGCCACTCGTGTAGATTATATGAATTGATTTTCCACCCAAAATGTAATCGAAAGGATTTTTGTCATGGTTTGAAGATTAAAAAAAATTACTTTAAATATTTTGGTTCACGGCCATGCTTCTAATGGTGCTGGAGAATTTACTGAGAGAGAGAGAGAGAGAGAGAGAGAGAGAGAGAGAGAGAGAGAGAGAGAGAGAGAGAGAGAGAGAGAGAGAGAGAGAGAGAGAGAGAGAGAGAGAGAGAGAGAGAGAGAGAGAGAGAGAGAGAGAGAGAGAGAATAAGAAAATGCATACATAATTCCTTAAAATTTTT